CTGAGAGAAAATAGCGTGTCGAGGACCGAACCATGGGGCACGCGTTCTGGGTGGAGAGTTGTTTGTACCAAAATCCGGAAGTTCAGGGCGTGGCCAGTCTCGAGGCCGAGCTCCAGTTCTGCAGCTCCGACACCGCTCCCTCGGAGAATGTGCGGAAGTCGAAGCTACCATTCAATAAACGAGGAAGTTTCTACCCTATCTTCCCTCCGTGTCTTCTAATAAAACGAGTCTCTTGTGGAAGGGACCAGCCGAGAAGAACCTACTCTAAGACGGACGCCCTGACATCAGCGCAGAGAAATAGAAGCTTCATGGCCTTGAGCAGGAGCGGGCAGTCGCCGAGCCTGCCGCCAGCTCAGAATTAAGCGCTGGTGCGCAGTCATTCTGGACTACGTTCACATAACCAATGCTGAGGCCAGCCCTCCCTCCGCTCAACCTCTTCTCAAGGTTGCCTGACTTAGGAGTGTGCGCTTTTTACATTTTATACAGTAGTCCGTTTCCCAACAGGCCGAATAATGCAAATGAACATTTATTAGCTAGTACTTTGGTAATAAAAAACATCTATTCTCCGGGTCAGCCAGACATCTGTAGAGGATGTTTCCACTGGAACGTCACTGGCAGAATTCCAGAATCCATCCTTCTGAACAGTCCTATTTCAGCGCACAGATGGGCCGCACTAAGACACAATTTTCCTTGGAGTGACATAATCATGTCCTTTCCACTAAATACAGCTTAGTATTTTTTTTTACAGTACTTATGGCTCACTAAGTAACTCTGATGGAAGATTATGACGTTGTTTCCATTAATTTTTTAATGACATGGTAAAAAAATTTTAGAGTAACAAAGGGAGAAAGTTCAGGCTGCAACATTCACCATTTCAGGGATCTGGTAGTGATGGCTGATGTTAGTAAGGGGCTTTGTTTTCCGTTGATCATCCAGCTTGCCCAAACTTGGAAGTTTACAACATAATATTAGCACATTTCTTTTTTGAGTAGAGGGCAAAAACTTTTACCACGGAAGCTATGGCTCAGCCACTCAAAATTTTCAGTTGGTTACAAATAATTGCAATAACCTACTTTCGTCATTTTTTTGTGTGTGTATATTCTCTCAAAAAATCTAAGATCACAAAGGTTACCCCATTTTTCAAGCATGTTTCCAAAGCCACACCAGTATTTTGAAAAGAGAGAAAAGTAATTAAAAGTATGACAACCATGAGCTTGGACTCTTAAGGGCAAACATCTATATTTGTGTCTTTAACAGGCCATTTCTAGCTAAATAACTTTTTTATTTCTGAACTTCAGTTTCCTTATCTGTAAAATGGGACTAGTAAAAGAACTACTGCTTTGAATTTTCTGAGAATTGCATACATGAGATTACATACATAGACTTCCCTGATGGCTCAGATGGTCAAGCCTCTAACTACAATGCGGGAGACCCAGGTTCACTCCCTGGGTTGGGAAGATCTCCTGGAGAAGGAAATGGCAACCCACTTCACTGTTCTTGTCTAGAAAATCCCATGGATGGAGGAACCTGGTAGGCTACAGTCCATGGGGTTGCAAAGAGTCGGACATGACTGAGCGACTTCACTTTCTTTCTTTCTACATATGAGATAATTTCTGTGAACAATCTGCATAGTATAAGCACTCTTTTACTATTTCTATTACTTTACCTCTAGGAAGTAATTTCTCTAAAGCATAAAATCAAATTTGAAGAACTGGATAGGATTGTTTTCATCTGCTGTTTTTTTTCACCAGAACTATTCAGAAACACATTTAAGTATTCATGAAGATGTGGAGCAACAGGAACTCGCACAAACTGCCAGTTAAGTGTATATTGGGAAACCACTTAGAAAAAAGAAGTTATCTAAGTAAAGCTGAAATTTAACATACCCTTTGACAGCAAGCCCACTCCTGATGTTTGTTCTAAAGAACACCCAGAAAAGATGAACAAAAAATGGTCACTGTTCATATTAGCCAAAAATTGGAATAACCCACTTGTTCATCAATTATAGAATGTGTAAAATGTTGTATATTCTTTCAGTGTAATACCACCCCCATAGCACAAGAATGAATCTCCAACATAATGCTGACAGGAAAAAAAAAAAACCAAAATATGGAGTATCACTACACAAAGTTCAAACACAAGCAAATCTAAAGAATACCACTTAGGGATGCATACTTCTTGATCTAAGTGATGGTTACAATAGTGTATATTCATCTTGTACTTGACAAGGAAAATGAATTAAGTCTATAAAAATACTTATTAATATACTTTATTGTGATAAGGCAGCAACAGTAAAAATAGTATATTAATATCCATAGTAACTATACACAGCTAAATTTGAGCATATTTTCAAAGTCTATGTTGTCCTTTACCATCCTGTATTATGCTTTGGTATGCTGAAAAAAAGGTGAAGAGACAAGAGTGAGAGCTCTAACAACTATCTTCAGAGAAAAGCCAACCTCCAGGACAGGATTCACCAGTATTAACATACGTCTGAAAGGAAAACATAATGGTTCTTAAATTCTAGGTGGTTGAATCTTTTAAGATGGTTAAATATTGCTTCCCTGGTGTCTCAGTGGTAAGGAATGTGCCTGCCAATGCAGGAGATGGAAGGTTCAATCCCTGGATTCAGAAGATCCCCTGGAAAAGTAAATGGCCACCCACTCCAGTAGTCTTGCCTGGAAAAATCCCATGGACAGAGGAGCCTGGCAGGTTACAGTCCATGGGGTCACAAAAGAGACACAATTTGACATGGACAGAGGAGCCTGGCAGGCTACAATCGATGGGGTCAGACACAACTTTGCTATGAAACAAAAATCTTCAAAAAAAGAAAAAGCAGCTTAACTCTACCCAATCTTAACTTTTGTCATACTTATCACAACCTGACAGCTTAATATTTTTGTCTCCTCCACCAGCAGAAAATATGTAAACTGCACGAGAAACTTTGTTATTTACTGACTTATTCCTGGCACCCAGATCTCTGTCTAGCACACAACAAGTGTTCAATCAATATCTGCTAAATGAATGGAACTATCTAAGGACTAAGTGATTAAGAGAGGATTTTGCTGTTACAAAGATAGGAACTTGATTGCTCTCCTATGGAAAAGACTTATGTCTGGCTAGGCAACTACTCTATTATGCAAAACTGAATGCATACACAATCATATTACCATCTTTGCAGAACAACAGCAGACCAACAAAAAGAAGTTAACAGCACTGGTTTTAATAGGACCTGGAACGGTATAAGGAAGTAACATTTGGGGTATGCTGGGAGACTGAGTCACTACTATTGGGAAAATAAGAGCACTTGCTGGCCTAAATCCAGGTCACTTTCTATCATTGAGTAAGAATCTTTTAAGGGTGGGGTCTAGAAATACTTTCCAAGCACCATCTAGGTGTTTCTCACATGAAACCAGGTTTGAAAACTATACTTTAAACCAACTCAGGTTCTGGCTAGTCAGACCCATCTTAATTCCAACAGTGAAAGACACTTCTGAGTGCTGAACCAAATGTGACACAATAATGGCATCACAAGTTTCTTGAGAATATAATAGTATCTTATCTTCCCTATATTTACACAACACTTCAACAATGTTATTCCCTTTCAGAAAATTTAGGTAACACTGCTTTTATCAATAATCTTGAGTGCTGGGGTGAATATAAACACATGTTTTGGGACTCTCCTTGATACAATGGTTACTTGGAAAGGAAGGAATTTCAAACTTCTTCAACTTAATATCCTCCTTAGAGTAAATACATGTCTATTTATGGGAGGTCTAGTCAGATAGCATTAACATGGGCAGAGAGCTGTCTGCAACCTGATAAAGGAATCAGTCTAGGCTCACACTTTTATGAAAAGAAGAGTTCCTTTTAAAGAAAAGGTTATAAGAGGACCAAGTCCTGGGGTGTGGGCAAGAAAGGAGCCTATGACCCGAGCATATGTTTTAAGACCAAAAGTTCTCCTGAAAAAATAATGGATGGAAATTTCATCCACTTAGAAATCTGTTAATTTCTTTTAAAACTTTAAAAACCTTCGGAAAAAATCTCTTTTGGATTGCCAGTATTTTCTTTCTTTAGGGAAGTCTAGAACAAACATAGTCAAGTCCACAGTCTGAACTATAAAGCAACAACAGGAAACACTACACTCTCCAACTTCCCTCTTTTCTATCTGCCTAAATCCTTCTTACTCAGAGTTACAATTCCCCAGCCCCCAGTGCACCTTCAGCTCATGTTTGGTTCCACTTGCCATCCCACCCCTACCTCCTACAATGGCAAAGACAAATAAAAGAAATCTCAGATAGCTTTATAATACATTTATCACCACATCCTAATTGGAAGCATTCTGGTCTGAGATAGGAATTTTAAAGTAAGTAGTAATTTTAATTAGATACAATGTTCTTAACAGGTTTTACATGGCTTCTTCTAGGTGTTAAAATGATTCTCAGTTGTTTTCAAATTTCCAATTTGTGATCATGAAAATTAGGTTAAATATAAGAATATACCACATTTTTTGGTTACTATATTTTAACTCAAAAGAATGTATAGTAAATTCTGCCCACAATAAAATAGATATGGGCTGTACAGATTACCTAGTAACCATGCTGTATGTGCGCAAAGTCACTTCAGTCATGTCTGACTCTTGGCAACTCCATGAGGCTCCTCTGTCCAAGGGGATTCTCCAGGCAAGGGTACTGGAGTGGGTTGCCATGCCCTCCTCCACCTAGCAACATACCAACATTACTGAGCATTTGGAGTGTGCCAAGCATTGAGGTAAACTCTTGATATTCATTATTTCACTTGATTCTCACCACCTCATAAAGTAGATTCAGCTAAATTACCAATACAGAAATTTTGGATTAGAGAAGGACAAACTTAGAGGACATCATGAACAAGGTCCCTGCCTAGAGGTGTCACACTAGGGAAAAGAATCCAGATGGGCCGGCAATAGAGTCTACAATGTTACATATACCTTATTAAATGTGAAAAAAAACCCAACATCATCCATCAAATTGACATGTGTATTTATTGCACAAATATCCCCTAGAACTGGGAGGTTATTATAATACAGGTGTACATTTGAGAAATGTATACAGAACAAGGAACATGTATTTACATTTTACATCTCCCACCATCTAAATAACTTAGAGAAAGCAAAACAATCTCATAAGACATCTAGCAGAAGTAGGCATTGTATAAAATCTGTTTTTGTTAAAGTGATCATCCCCAGTGTATGCCAATTTCAACAAAATGAAATCTGTGCTAGTATGTTTATTGCACTTAACATTTTCAAACTCAAAATTAAGACACATTAATAAAAGCCAGGAATATTTAAAATCAAAACAATTAGTTTATATACAGGAAAAATTAGTTTTAAATCTATAATGTAAAAGATTCCTTTTTCATTTCCTGCTGCAACATACAGGTTTTTAAAATGTGTAATACATATCTGTCTGTACCATAAGAAGTTGAAAAATTGTTTTGAAAAGTCAAAATTCTTTTCACATTCATCATAATGACCATACTTCAAAGAAGTAGCAGTTCATTCCTTGGGTTTTCTGTAATAAAAGAATAACTATAACAAACAGCAAAAATTATAGGATGGTAAATTATAAAACTCAGGAATCCTGTAGGGATTAATGATTCTATAAGAAACCATAGTGCTTTTCCTTCCAAACAAAGCTTAAAGAATTACAGTAGCATGAGCCATCCATTTGTTGAAAACCAGATTTCCAAAATGCTAATTTATTACAGATTTCTGATAGGACTGTGAATAATTTGATGATTAATTTTAAAAATAAGACACAAAAACAGACATTGTCTACCTGCTATGTATCCTGAACTATAATGAGAAAAAATGTAAGTGGCCCACATACGATCTTTTCCATATTCTGAATTCAGATAAAGAGACTGATTCATAAAATTCCAAACAACAGATCAGAGAATTTCTTTAATGAATAGACTAAAAAAAAACTATGCCAATGAAAATATATTCACGAACACTCTTTGACAGCAAATCGCCCATGGGAGACTCAGGAACTAAACCAGCTGATAGGATCAGGGGCCAAACTGCCTGCAGGCACACCAACTTCAGGTTTACATTCCATTAAAATAACCATTTCATCTCAGTCTAGCTGGAGATTAGAACAAGGTAAAATGTGACCCAATGCTATAAATTTGAGGTCAAAAACTAAATAAACCACAGAAATTTCCTTAATTACTGAAAATTTAAATAGCAAGAATGGATGCATTATACAAAAGATACTTAGTAACAATAAGCAAGTGGTTTTCAGTTTTAAGCTAATCAGCTAATTATGATGAAAATAGTTCATGAAAGCAGAAACCAGTTTCACTTCTTACATTAAGAACATCTTAGAGACCAGATAAGTAAAGGATAAACTATTAATATAATGTAGTATTTCAAGTAAACTGAGGTAGTAGAGCATATTGAAAACTTTATCTACCCATCTTTCTATTTACATTACTTACAAGAGTTTGGTTCCATATTAGCCTTTCTCACAAACAACCCTCCCCAGTATATACAAAAACAGTTACAACTGAAAAGTTGAAATCTTTGAAAAAAATTAGCTATTGGAAGGGAGGAACTATTAGAGAAAATAAAATTTTAAGAATTAATGAGTTTGTTAGTGTAAATTGAATATTATGAAGCAGTGAAACAAATATTCAGTTCCTATGGGTTCAAAGAAGGGCTTGATACCGAAAACCAAGGGCCTCGGCTACCTGAGCACTTTTAAAGAAAATAGTATTATTTCTGCCAATGCTTTGGTGTGATTTTTAATCCCAATTTCAATTTATTAAATTAGATGCAAATATGTAAATATTAACATTTATAAGAATTAGCTTATACTTAAAAAAAAACAAATCGTATAAAGTAGTATTCTTATTTTGGGAATCTACATTCCTCAACCTTAAAAAGAGATTGGCTTTATTTATATTTTAGGGTGTGTGAAACAGAAAAATCACCAGAAAGTAATATTTCAACACTATATACAATTACTACTAGTTGAAAATATATCTTTAAAAAGGCATGTTTACCAATCTTGGACTTCTACCTCTGGCTTTTTAAAAAATAGATACATATGTACACTTGGGTGGATAACATAACACAAATTTATACACTTTATTCTGAGTTTATTTTAATTAAAAGTTGTTTAAAATACTTTGAGAAATACTTAGAAATTAGCTATTTTGAATTGAAAAACAAACAAACAAAAAACAAACACAACTTTACAGATCTCTGTACCTTAGAAACAAAGAAAACGACTGAAATGACTACTTCCGGGCCATTTAGTGAGTTATCTGTTGTTACTTATGAGCTCTGGCAAGACTGTAGTGATCATAATCAAATTCTTCAATGTTACTCATTTTATAGAAACTTCTAAGTTACAATGTGGCTTCTTCAAATGCTTTTCCCCCAAATGCTTTTTTAGTTTCACTTGGTTAAAAATCTACCACCATCCAAAAGTCCAATCAAAATGAAAAAGTCATCCAATGGTGACATGATATGCACTGCAATGCAGAATACCAAGGTGACTGATTCATTCAGATGAAAGTCTGACAGAGAAAAAAAATTGCCATAAATGCATGTTGTGACTGCTTCCTTGGTTTCTACTTAACTTTTCACTGAAGTTAATTTCCAACAGCCTTTATGTTAAAGTAGTATCTGAGCAACATACGGGGAGTGAGTGCTTGCTACAGCAGCCAAGAGAGGAAGATCACTGGATTCAATCCTGAAATTAAAAAAAAATCTCAGTTCAGGTTTTCTATACCCAGTACATAAGTCCTACAGGCAAAGACTGCTACCTGTAAGGTCACTATACATCTCCAATCAAGGTCATTGGCCACCATGGCCAAAATGAAAAGGGGAAGAGAGCTGAAGGTAATGAAAATAAATTTTTCCATAAGTAAAAACCATAACCAAAATTTTTTTTAAAAAGAAAACCTCTGAAATGCAACAGAAACGAAGTCTTAAATGTAGAAAACCATCTCAGTGAGCTGCTGATGGACCGTGCGTAAGGGCAAGTGATGATGTCTAAGAAATACTATATAATAACAGAATGACAGTATGCAGCCCTATTGTTCTGGATACAAATGTTTCTATAGTAAGATTCACTGGAAAGAAGTAATGAAAGCCTCTTAAAAATACAATCTACCACAAATAATGTACAGGAAAAGAAAACTGGCCAATAAATATCAAAATAAATTTTGTAGACTCACTCATGGTTAGAGAATAAATCTGAATAAAATCAGATTTCATTTTTCAGCAAGTAGCTTAGCAAAGATTAAAAAGTTTGGTGATAAAAGTAGTAGGAAGAGTGTGTTTCCCATTGTTTGTGGGAATTTATTCTGACACTTTCTGAATAGAATTTACAATTGTCAAAATAAATACCAAGATCTATCAACAATTTAATACACATGTCCTTTAATTCAAAAATCCTACTTCAAATAATGTATCCTATAAACTTTAAAGAATTATACTGATTCCAGCACTTATCTGTAATATCAAACTAGTGAAAATAATCTAAATACCACATAATGGAATGCAGTATAGCCTTTAACCAGTATGTGTGGTATGTGCTTAAATGAACAAACATTCAAGATTCATTAAAAGGCAAGTTGCAAACAGGGTATAAACTAATTTGTAATTTTAACCCTACACATTTAAAAATTCTGTAAGAAACAATTCACTAACTGTTTGGATGGAAACAGAAGTTGTGGAAAAGATGATACAACTTACTTTTCACTTTATGTCAAAATTCATGTACACTGTATATACATTACCTTAAAAATTAGTTTAAACTTTTATAAAATGAAAAGCTTCACACACAGAGAATCATTTCCAATCTGGATACTAAGGAATAATATTAATGAAAGAATTTAATCTGGTTTCAGACATACAGTAGTAACTCAATATTGACTGTTTCTCCCTTCTTGAAAGCTAAAACTAGACAAAAGTTCTAGCTTGTTTTAATTTATTCAACCAGCACTTCAAGAAATAATTCATGCACCTGCACCTGCGCGCGCGCGCACACACACACACACAAAAAGTGGCCACAGAACGCAATGAAAGGGGCTATACTATGACTCCTACCAATTTCCTCTTTGTCCTTCAGTTAGGATTTTACATAACTGGCTTCTTCCCAGGAAAACTGCAGAGTATTAAGACATAATACATAAAAAATGGAGAAGGAGCAATAAATATGTAGATAATATACCACCAACCACAGAGTGCCATTACTTTTTCAATCAGTTCATCTGGATGACATGGCAAATGCCTTTCACATCAGTCCAAGACAAGGTTCTGCTTTTATACTGTAAAGTGCAACCCAGATGATAATACTGTACAGCTTCTAAGACAACAATTTAAAAAGAAAAAGGCAATTCTGATGAATGTTCCTGTCCTAAATAAAGACAGTGCAATGAGAAAGCAAAGCCAGAGAAGAAATCAGGAACGTACCCTAGAACCACTCCCAGTTCCTTGACATGAACACGCATCTGCCCCCTCAGGTACTCAGACAGCATTTTGCTCTTGAAGTACAGCTCCTGTAACCGGTCTTCAAGATGCATTACACACTGCAGTTAGGAGGGAACCAAGAACGAGGTCAGAAAATGCACAACTCAGAGGAATGGCAAATTCCAAAGCATTATACTTTGACAATTCTACTTAGCTATTTCAACATAATCTAAAATTTGGAGCATATTTTGAAAACATGCAATATTAGCTAAAGGAGTGTAAACTCACTGGCTTGAATCAAAGATTTAGATTCTACAGAGTTATTTTTTAATGTGGTAAATTACATATAATATTAACTTAACCATTTTAAATATAAGAGTTACCATTTTAACTACTTTATATAACTGAGAGGCATTAAGTACATTCAAAAGGTTATACAACTTATCACCACCATCCATATCCAGCACTTTGAAAAATAAGTTTTTATTCCAAATTTGATAACTGTAACTCTTATAAATTAATATACTTCAAATGTATTTACATTAGAAGGCTGCATTCTCCTATGGAAAGCAAAAGAAAAAAATTTCCAGCAACTCATAGAGAATGCTCTGTAGGCCTCACTAGAAGAAATGTTTCTTGGCTGCAATATTAAAAAACTAAAACATATACATTTTGTTCCTTGTCAATTAATTTGCATAAGTCACTAAAATAAGTGTTTTTTCATGTGAATTGTTGGTATGTATGTATGAGAAAAAGCATGAGGTGTAGGTGCTAAGATACTAAATTCTTGCAGAGTATTTCTCTTGTATGAAAACTGGCTGCTGTTAAAGCTCCTAATAAAAACACATTTTCTTTTTCTTCAGGAAAAAAAAAACTGAATAGGTTTCTTGACACACATTCTTTTGTGGTATATTTTTGGTAGTATTAATATAATGCTCATGTAGACTGAAAATGCCGTAAGTGAAAAGGAAAGTATCTATAAAACATATGTTAATAATAGTATTCATACACACACACAATTTACCCTATTACCTACTGTTAGGCACACAATTCAATGTTATTAAGTATATTCACAATGTTGTATACTGTCATCACTATCCATTTCCGGAACTTTTTCATTATCCCAAACAGAAACTCTACATCCAGTACACAATAACCCTTTATGCCCTCCTTCCCCCGACTCCCAATAATCTATCTATTCTGTTTCTATGAGCACGCCTATTGCAGACACCTTAATATAACTGGGACCACACAATATCTGTCTTTTTGTATTTTGCTTATTTCACTTAGCATAATGTTTCACCCTGCTGTATCATGTATCAGAATTTTCTCCCTCTTTATAGCTGAAATATTCCATTCTATGTATTACACATCATTTACTGATGGACAAGAGTTGTTTCCAATATTGTGAATTGCAAGTAATACTGCTGTGAAAAATAGGGAACAACTGCTCAGTCCCCGCTTTCAATTATTTTGATTATAAACATAGAAGCAGACCTGCTAGACCACATGACAATACAATGTTAAACTTTTTGAGGAATTGCCAAACTGTTTCCACAGCAGCTACACCATTTTACATTTCCACCAGCAATGCATAAGAGTTCTGATTTCTCTGTATTCAATATTAGTTCTTTTGGGGGTTTGTTTGATCAAAACCATCCTATGGGTATGAAATGGTATTTCAATGTAGTTTTGAGTTTCACTTTCCTAATAACTAATGGATGTTGAATATATTCTCATCTGTTTATTGGCTATTTGTGTAACTTCTTTAGAGAAGTGTCTACTCATGTCCTTTTGACTATTTTTTGAGTTGTTTCTTTGCTGAGTTGTAGGAGTTCTCTATATATTCTGGATATCAATCTCTTTTCAGATGCATGATTAGTAAACATTTTCTCCTGTCCTGTCAACTGTCTTTTCCCTCTGCTGATACACAAGTTTTTCAGCTTGATGAAACCACAATTTATCTATTTTTCCTTTACTGTCTGTCCTTTTGATGCCAGGTCCAAGGAATCACTGCTAAATCCAGTATCATGAAGATTATCCCCTATATTTTCTTTAGAGAGTTTTCTGGTTTAATATTTAAATTTAGGTGGGTTTTCTTTTAACTTTAGGTTTAAGTTTAGATTTAAGTTAAAGTTCATTTTTGTTAATGGCATAAAGTAACAGTTCAACTTCATTCTTTTGCATGTGGATATCCAGTTTTCTCTAGGCTGGAATACTGGAGTGGGTAGCCTTTCCCATCTCCAGGGACATGGACACATCCAGTTTTCTCAGTAGGATTTGCTGCGAAGACTCCTTTCTCTTTTGAATAGTCTTGGCTTCCTTGTCAAAAATCGATTGACCATATAGGGTTTATTTGGGGGATACTATAATCAATTGGTCTATATGTCTATCCTTCTGATACTACCACACTGTTTTGATTACTGTCCCTTTGTATAAAGTTTTAAAATTAGAAGAAGTGAGTCCCCCAGCTTCATTCTTGGTGCTATCATCTTAATAATACTAAGTCTTCCAAACAATGTGAAATGACTTTATTTGTCTTTAATTTCTATCAGAGATGTTTTGTAGTTTTCAAGGTAGAAGTCTTTTGCCTCCTTGGTGAAATATATTCCTAAGTAATTTATTCTTCTAATGCTACTGTAATTGCCTTCTTCATTTCTTCTTCAAGACTTCATTCCTAGCATACGTAAATGCAACTATCTTTGCATGCTGATTTATCTTGCATCTTTGCTAAATTCATTTATTAACTCTATCAGGGTTTTTTGGTGGAATCTTAGTTTCCTATGTATAAGATCATATCTGCAAACAGAGATAGTTTTATTTCTTTTTTTTTTTTTCAATTTGGATACCTTTTGCTTCTTTTCCTGCCTAACTGCTCTGATTAGGACTTTCCAATACTACGTTGAATAAAAGTGGTGCAGGTGAACAACCACATCTTCTCCCTGTTCTTAAGGATAAAACTTTTATTAGTCTTTAATCACTGAGTATAATGCCAGTGAGTCTTATATGGGCCTGTCATATATAGCTTTTGTTATGCTGATCTACAAAGGTTTTTCACTATGCTGTATTACAGCTCTCCTAACCAAAAAAGGAAAGAACCTTGAAATCTTTGAAATGGCATCTTCAGAAAAAGGTTACCAGTGTTATAAAAAAGGACCATCCAGGGACCTCCTTGGTGGTTCAGTGTCTAAAACTCCACACTCCCAGTGCAGGGGCCCTGGGTTCAATCCTTGGTGAGGGAACTAAATCCCAAATATTGCAACTAAGACTTGGCACAGCCAAATAAATAAATAAATACTTAATTTAAAAATTTTTTTTTAAAATGATCATCAGAAGTCCTAATATGAAAATGAGGATACACAACGCACTGGCATTCTGAACAGAGCTTAGGGCTTGTTACATGTCATTACTTCACATAATTCTATGCCAGGTACTGCAGAAATCATATACACTATACAGACAAGTACACATACATATTCCTTTCTGTCTTAGTTTGAATTGCAACAACAAAGTACCACAGACTCAATGGCCTAAATAACAGAAAATTATTTTCTCACAGTTCTGGAAACTGAGAGTCTGATATCTGCATGTCAGCATGGCTGAGTTTTAGTGAGACCTCTCTTCCTGGCTGGCAGATGGCTCCCTTCTCCCTGTGTCCTCACATGGAAGAGCAAGTGGAATCTCTCTCTTCTTCTTCTTATAAGGTCACTGATCCCATAATGAGAGTCCCACTCTTATAACCTAATCTAACCCCAATTACTTCTCAAAAGTATCACATTGCAGGCTTCACATATTGATTTTTTTTTCTACATAATATGAACCATTTATTTTTATTATTTGGAGGCTAATTACTTTACAACATTGCAGTGGTTTTTGTCATACATTGAAATGAATTAGCCATGGATTTACATGTATTCCCCATCCCGGGAACCCTCCCACTTCCCTCTCCACCGGATCCCTCTGGGTCTTCCCAGTGCACCAGGCCCGAGCACTTGTCTCATGCACCCAACCTGGGCTGGTGATCTGTTTCACCCTAGATAATATACATGTTTCGATGCTGTNTCTCTTCGGTGTCTAATTTCCGCCCTGACACAGGCGGGCGGAGGTGATCTCTTATTTAGGTTCGCTAGTTCAGTTCAGTCCTGCTACTGGGAGGGCGGGGCGCTGCAGACAGATACCGCTCCGTGTGGCTAGCACTCACCGGCCACACTGGGTTTGCCCCGCCCACGGGTGTCAGTGCTTTCCCGGTCTACACTGCTCAGGTTCCCGGCTGCTCTATATGGAGCGGGCCCTGCGTTGAGTTCAGTTCCAGTTTTCGGGTACTCCACCAAAGCGCGGATTTCATTGTGCCTGAGTTTTGTGCCTTTACTGGCCTGAGCGGTTCAGGCAGCCAGGGGCTTGGGCGTACTGTCCCTGGGTGCAGCGCGCCTTTTCCCTCCGCGTCGAGCGGCCCAGGCAGCCAGAGGCTTGGGCGCACTCTCCCCGGGTACAGCGCGCTTTTCCCCTCCACGGACCCAGCGCGCGGCCCCAGCGCGCCGCCAGTCGGGTCTCAGGAAGTCTTTATATAGGAACCGGGGCCTGTTTGCAGTGTGGGAGGGGGTGGCTTCTCAGGGGCTGAGTTTGCCCTTTTCCCCTTCCCCCTGCCTCCTACCTCCAGCGGGGATGGGCCGGCTCTTCTCAGGACTTTCTAAGTCCCTTTGTTTTGCGAACCACAGGCAGTGTGTTCCAGCCGGTTAATTTTGTCCCACCGTTTAAAAAAAAGCTCCCTCCGATTGCTCTCAGCGTCTTCGGGCCGGTCCTTACCCTAAGCAATGCCGCCCGCTCCTCTCCGTGCCGCCCCCGTTTGTTGCTGGCGGGTGCGAGCGTCTGGGGTACTTTTCTGCTGGGAGTTGCTTTTAGGCACATAATCTGTGGGCCTTAATTTTTCCTCCCAGTTAGATTGCCGAAAACTTTCCCCCAGTCCCGCCAGTGCGAGGGTTTCCTGGTGATTGGAAACTTCCTCTATTAAGACTCCCTTCCCGGGAGGGGTCTCCGTCCATTGCTCTTTTGACTCCCTTTTTATCTTTTATATTTTGTCCTACCTCCCTTTGAAGACAATGGACTGCTTTTCTGGGCGCCTGATGTCCTCTGCTAGCGATCAGAAGTTGTTTTGTGAAATTTGCTCAGCGTTCAAATGTTCTTTCGATGAATTTGTAGGGGAGAAAGTGGTCTCCCCGGCCTATTTCTCCGCCATCTTGGCTCCTCCCCCCTCCACATATTGATTTTAGAGGAACACAAACATTGAGTCCATAACACCTTCTTTCAGGAAAACAATAATGAAGGTAACAATATTCAGTGTAGGTACATGAATGACAATAGGGTTAAGTTAGTTATCACAGTGCCCACAGTAATTCAAGCCTTACACATACTTACAAAATTCGGAGACAGGTTATGTTTATAAAGCTGAAGAGTGGAATGAAGCAGATTGGAAACAAGACTGGAAACCAACACTTCCTTTCCCAGTTTATTATCTGTCATTCGTCTCTGGCTACTGGCCACTTGAACAGTCCATTTATCCATATCTGCTATAATACAGACAGCTTCTGCTATTGGTTCATCCAATACTGGATGCTGGAAAAAAAGAAAAAGAACTCATCTTAAAAAAAGAAAAGTTTTCAAAGATAATGGGATGGGCAAGGAAGAGATACCAGACAAAAACAAAACAAAGGAATATGAAACTTCTCAGAGTTACTGCCAAAGAATCCTTGACGGTGAAGAAAGCAGCTAAATAACAAATACCCTGAGATATCTTACAGAAATCACAATAGATTCATTACCAGAATTTTGTATCCTTTAATCCAGAACTTGAATTTTAAAAAGTATTTTGGTAATTAATTCAACAAATTTACTGCCAACTATGTGCCAGGCAACTGAAAGAAAGCATTTTTACTTTGAAAGAGCTAAATGTTTTAAAAATAGGAAGGAAATAAATTCACATGAAAGATCAATGATAAGGTTCTGTGCTAACTATCCCATCCAGTCAGGCATTAATTTGTTTGAGCACCTCCAAGGCTATCCCTTGATCATCTCTTCCTGGTTATGTGTACTAGGTTCTTCTATTTTACAAAAATACATATCCAGCGTATAGATATAGCAGTTGAAAAGGAGACAAATCAACACATACTAATAAGTTTCTCAGGAAACGTGGTTAAATGGGGGGAGAAAAGTCACTACATGCAGCTTCCCAGGTAGTATAGTAGTAAAGAATCCACCTGCCAAGCAAGGCAGGAGACACAAGAGATGTGGGTTCAATCCCTGGGTTGGGAAGATACCCTGCAGGAGGGCATGGCCACCCACCCCAGTATTCTTGCCTGAAGAATCCCATGGACAGCGGAGCCTGCTGGGCTACAACAGAGTTGCAAAGCGTCAGGCATGACAGCAAGTGCATGCATACGCACTCTCTATCCCAGTTATGTTCTTAAAAATTCAGATCTTTATCTAAATGAAAATGTATAGAAAGAACAAAATACTCAAACTCTCTGTTATAAAGTTTCCTGTGAAGAAGTTCGAAATATTATGAGTATAGAGAATTTTCACTTTTGGCTTTGTATATCTTTATACTGCTTAAATTTCTATCAGAAGCATTCATCTAAATTATATTTTAATAAGAAAATTTAAGAAACAGAGAGAAAAAATATTTTTAGCTCACATATACGGATAAAAGAACCACAGGCGTATGTCTGTGCCCTTGGGTTCCCATGGTTTACCCACAAAGAATTAAGTACACAGTACCACCATAAATAAGAGATACTCAATACATCTTTTTGTATTCAGAAAGATAAGGCTTTCTTCACCATTGGCCCTATGAATTAACATATTAGCAATAAGACTGAAATATAAACTACAATCTGAAATACTTAAACCCAATGGCCTTTCTCCTTTATAATTTTCACTGTTACTAAAATTTCATAGCAAGAATGTAACAAGTTTACTCCTGGAAAAACCCAAGTTTGGCAACCCCCCAGGGATATCTCCTGGTCCAGAGTAAAGTTTTTTGCTTGATGCTAAGGAAACAAAGACATGGGAGCTCACAGTCCTATGAGGGAGCTAAAAAGAAATACATACAGAGCTATGAGAATACTTGTGTAACGAATTAAACAGTCACCAAGTGCTGGGGTATCAGAGGAGGGCAACAGTGGGTTCTGTGTGACTGGAAGTTACACAGTAGAAGGAACACAAGGATATGACACTGAAGCATGAATAGCATTCCTAATGAAAGATGGAAGAGGATTATGGATAATTCTGTGAAGGGGAATACCATGAAAAGACTCAAAAAGAGAAGTAGATGCATGTAATCAAATTTGTGGAAAATGACACTGAAAAGTGGGGAACAAGAGAATGCAAGAAGGAGGCTGGAAAGCTAACACTGTGAAGACTTCCCATGAAACTGTAAATTCTGTATTTGTTTTTATAAATGATAAATATTTTTTATTCAACTCTTACCAAGGATATAATACTTTTCATCAACTTCAATACTGAAACATAATTTTGGAAATGGTATATACATCTAAAGAGGAAAAGTAAATCTTACATTTTTAAGAAACAAGAAAAGAGTGAATATATATTTAATGTAACTACTTTTGTTCTTATAAAAGAAAAATATGGTGGGAGATAGGATTAAATAATTAAAGTGGAAAACAAGCTGTGAAAGGAGGATGCTGCTGCTAAGTCGCTTCAGTCGTGTCTGACTCTGTACAACCCCATAGATGGCAGCCCACCAGGCTCCCCCGTCCCTGGGATTCTCCAGGCAAGAACACTGGAATGGGTTGCCATTTCCTTCTCCAATGCATGAAAGTGAAAAGTGAAAGTGAAGTTGCTCAGTCGTGTCCCACTCTTCGCAACCTCATGGACTACAGCCTACCAGGCTCCTCCGTCCATGGGATTTTCCAGGCAAGAGTACTGGAGTGGGTTGCCATCGCCTTCTCCAGTTAAAGGAGGATACGTCTTGCAAAAGCAGAGGGCATCTTCAGGAGATGAGAATCACAATGGAAGTCCATCTACTAGCCTCACAAAGAAATGCCTAAACAGGTCATGAGGAAACTGCTATGAAATAAAGATATCTCTTTTTTAAAGGCTTAAAAACTTCTTTAGAAATTCGCTTTATAGCTCCTCAATCAAAAGTCACATGGCTAAGATTTTTAAAGCTATTTTTTTTTGGTAAGATAAAGGAAAATGAGCCCACATCAGCAGTTTCCCAAGAAGTGTCAGTCTCTCAGTCGTGTCCAACTCTTTGCAATCCCATGGGCTCTACAGGCTCCTCTGTCCATGGGCTTCTCCAGGCCAGAACACTGGAATAGGTTGCCATGCCCTTCTCCAGGGGATCATCCTGACCCCAGGATCGAACCCGAGTCTCCCAAATTGCAGGCAGATTCTTTATCCTCTGAGCCATCAGGGAAGCCCAGTTTCCCAAGAAAGAAGGGCCTAAACCCCAAGTCTGAGACTAGAACTGATTCAAATCAAACTCACTTAAAATTCAGTTCAGTCACTCAGTCGTGTCTGACTCTGCCACCCCACAGACTGCAGCACTCCAGGCTTCCTTGTCCATCACCAACTCCTACAGCTTGCTCAAACTCATGGTGATGCCATCCAACCAACTCATCCTCTGTCATCTGCTTCTCCTGCTGCTTTCAAGCTTTCTCAGCATCACGGTCTTTTACAATGAGCCAGTTCTTCACATCAGGTGGCCAAAGTACTGGAGTTTCAGCATCAGTTCCTCCGTTGAATATTCGGGATTTCCTTTAGGATAGACTGGTTGGATCTCCTTGCAGTCCAAGGGACTCTTAAGAAAGTCTTCTCCAACACCACAGTTCAAAAGCATCAATTCTTTAGTGCTCAGCTTTCTTTATGGTCCAACTCTCACATCCATACATGACTACTGGAAAAACCATAGCCTTGACCAGACGGACCTTTGTTCACAAAGTAATGTCTCTGCTTTTTAATATGCTGTCTAGGTTTGTTATCACTTTTCTTAAAAGGAGCAACTGTCTTTTAATTTCATGGCTGCAGTCACCATCTGCAGTGAGTTTGGAGTCCAAGAAAATAAAAATAAAGACTGTCACAGTTTCCCCATCTATTTGCCATGTAGTGATGGGACCAGATGCCATAATCTTAGTTTTCTGAATGTTGAGTTTTAATAAAGCCAGTTTTTTCACTCTCCTCTTTCACTTTTATCAAGAAGCTCTTTAGTTCCTCTTCACTTTCTGCCATTAAGGGTGGTGTCATCTGCGTATCTGAGGTTATTGGTATTTCTCTCAGCAATCCTGATTCTAGCTTGTGCTCCATCCAGTCTGGTGATATGATGTGCTCTACTTATAGTTAAACAAGCAGGGTGACAATATGCAGCCTTGACGTGCTCCTTTCTCAACTTGGAACCTGTCCACTGTTCCATGTCCAGTTCTAACTGCTGCGTTTTGACCTGTATACGGGTTTCACAGGAGGCAGGTCAGATGGTCTGGTATTCTCATCTCTTTAGTTTATTATGAGCCACACGGTCAAAGCCTTCAGCAAAGTCAATGAAGCAGATGAATTTCTGAATTTTCTTGCTTTTTCTATGATCCAATGGATGGTAGCAATTTGATCTTTGGTTCCTCTGCCTTTTCTAAATTCAGTTTGAACATCTGGAAGTTCTCAGTTCACATATTGTTGAAGCCTAGCTTGGAGAATTTTGAGCATTACTTTGCTAGCCTGTGAGATAAGTGCAATTGTGTGGTAGTTTAAACATTCTTTGTCACTGCCTTTCTTTGGGATGGGCTTCCCTAGTTGCTCAGCTGGTAAAGAATCTGCTGCAATGCAGGAGACCTGGGTTTGATCCCTGGATTGGGAAGAAGAGAAAGGCTACCCACTCCAGTATTCTGGCCGGGAGAATTCCATGGACTATACAGTCAATGGGGTCACAAAGAGTTGGACATGACTGAGTGACTTGCACTTTCTCTTCTTTGGGACTGGAATGAAAACTAACCTTTTCCAGTTCTGTGGCCACTGCAGAGTTTTCCAAATTTGCTGGTATACTGAGTGCAGCACTTTAACAGCATTATCTTTCAGGATTTCATACAGCTCAGCTGAAATTCCATCACCTCCACTAGCTTTGTTCATGGTGATGCTTCCTAAGGACCACCTGACTTCACAGTTCAGGATGCCTGGCTCTAGGTGAGTGATCACACAATCGTGGTTAGCTGAGTGATTAAGATCTTTTTTGCATAGTTCTTGCTACCTCTTCTTAGTATCTTCTGCATCTGTTAGGTCCATACCATTTCTGTCCTTTATTGTGCCCGTCTCTGCATGAAATGTTCCCTTGGTATCAATTTTTGAAGAGATCTCTCATCTTGCCCATTTTATTGTTTTCCTCTATTTGCACTGATCACTTACTTAGGAAGGCTCTCTTATCTCTCCTTGCTATTCTTTGGAAACTCTGCATTCAGATGGATACATCTTTCCTCCTCTCCTTTGCCTTTTGCTTCTCTTCTTTTCTCAGCTTTTGTAAGGCCTCCTCAGACAGCCACTTTACCTTTTTGCATTTCTTCTTCATGGGAATGGTTTTGATCACTGTCTCCTGTACAGTGTTACATAGTTCCTCAGGTGCTCTATCAGATCTAATCCCCTGAATCTATTTGTCATTTCCACTGTATAACGGTATAAATTCATTTTAGGAGTTGTTAAAGAAACAAGGGGGCAGTACCAGTGATTTATTCTGAAGCTGCTTTTCACTCAATGGATTATCATAAGCAATATCCTAATCTGATAAAATTTCAAGTTAGTCAATTTCAGTCCTTTCCTTAACCATCAACTTCTAGGAAAAAACAGCCTATACCCAATAGGAACACATTCTTAATTGAGAATACATTTCCTATTTTGTGACCTGGAAGTATTTGAGGATGGATACAAATACTTTCCTCAAAACTAGTCAGTTTTCTTCATTTATCTTTTTTTTTTTTTAGGAGAGAGAACCCCAATATTTTAAATGGAACAGGTTTTAGGGACATTACAAACTGCTGCTCAAACTAGCATTGTCTTTGCAGAAGAAACTACCAAACATGCAACAAGAACATGAAAATAGTTCTAAATTTAAAAATCGCTCAGTATCTTCATCTCTGGGAATCTAGCTGAGAGAAATAACCTTAAATTCATAAAATGCAGCAACAGTATCAATATTACTTATAACAAAAGAAAGAAAAGTTGTTTTTTAAATTTGAGCAGTAAGAGACTAAAGAACACAGAAATAAACCCATGTATATATGCTCAATTAATCTAAGGACCCAAGAATAGTTTCTTCAATAAATGGTGCTTAAGAAACTGAACAGCCATGCTGCAAAAGAATGAAACTGGACCACTATCTTATACCACACACAAAACTCATATGCTAAATGAGTTTTATATACCATGACCAAATGGGATTTTTTTCCCCCTAGGAATACAAAGATTGGATTAACATCTAAAAATCAATCAGTGTAATTTATCACATTAACAGAGAAACCCACATGATTTCAATAGATTCACAAAAAGTATTTGACAAAACCCCACACTAGGTCATGATTTAAGGGGGTAGGGCACAGAAAACTCAAAACAGTAGGAATAGAACTTCATCCAGCTGATAAAAAGAGCATGGTGTAAGAATCCAACAGCTAACATTATTATGCTTAATAATTAAACACTTGATGTCTTTTCCCTAAGAAAAAGAACAAGATAGAGATGTCTACCATCAGCACTTCAATGCAACACTGTACTAAACGCTCTAGGCTATACTATCAGGCAAGGGAAAAAAAGAGGCACCCAGACTGGAAAGGAAGATGGTAACATGAAGCATATGTAGAAAATCTCAAAGAAGTCACACAAAGAACTATGAAAACTAATAAAAGAGCTCAGCAAAGCATCAGGATACAAGAGCAATATATAAAAAAATCAACTGTAATACTATATGCCAGAAATGAAAATTAATTTTATTCACATTTATGCATTTGCAATATTTTGATGTTATAAATAACTTGGTGATGAACACCTAAGAATACACATAGTATTTTCTGTATTTTCAGATTTCCAATTTGACAGATTCCTTACACTTATTTTCACGATGACAGGTACAAAACATACAGGTAACTACATATAAAGTGATGGATTTAGAGAAAAATTGTGTTACACACTGTGTGTGCATCTGTGTGTGTTCAGTCGTGTTCAGCTCTTTGCGACCACCAGGCTCCTCTGTCCATGGAATTTTCCATGCAAGAATACTGGAGTGGGTTGCCATTTCCTTCTCCAATTATACACTGAAGTGTGACCAAAACAAGGCAACTCTGGGTTCTACTGGTTAATAGTTTGTCTGAAATAAATTTAAGAGCAGTGAAGGTCACTCACCTGCACCGCATGAGACAAATCTGACACCAGACACTGACGGAGCCTCTCATCATTCCCAATTCCTTGAAGAACAAAGTCAGGGACGTAAGAAGAGCAATAGCCACCTAGCAAGGATCTCCCAAAGTTGGCGATGTTGGGCTGAACAGCACTCACTTCAATTAACTTCGATCTGGGAGAAAAGTTTCAAAAGGAGGCATATCTATTCAGTAATAAATATATATTACAAACATACAAAAAAAATTTGGATTCTACTAATCCACATTTCCAGTACCATCATTCTCTATAAAATATACTAAAACTAAAATCATCCTTAAATAAAAACTGGCCTAAAAACAAACCAAAAAAACACACTGGCTTAAGGGCTCAATGAGAACACAAAACACTCCTTCGTATCCAAAAAGAGTTTGATGGACAACTGTAATGAGATGAGCATGAATCTTTCAAAACAGACTTTAGGAAGGCTAGTCCTTGTGTATATGTAACACACCCTTAATAAAATCAAATTACAGAAACCATCACCTAAAACAAAGTATAAACAATTCACTAAACCCAAAGCTTGGTATGTAATATTTCTCAGGTATGACTCTCTTCCTTGTGTTCTTGACTGAAAGTTTATGTTCCATGCTTTCCTCTTATTTCCAAACTAATTTCTAACAGCTTACCTTCTCTCAGTGATCACCTCTCTGGAGTTGCCAGGCTCAGCACAAGTTCTGAGGAGCATAATTCTATCCTAAACGGCTTGAAAACTCCTGGACAGTAAGGAACCTCCCATACACCAACGTAACTTTTCTCTAATGTCTTCACAAAGCTTTTCCACAGTACCTATGAGTCTCAGCCTTTAATCCTTTTTGTAAGAGCACATCATAATCAAAGAAAATTTGTCCAGAACAATGATCTCTTCTTTTATATTAGCTACTACCAACTTTCAGAGATCAGTTAAACAAAAGAATGGTACACATGTAAATTCATGGCTGATTCATGTCAATGTATGGCAAAAACCACTACAATACTGTAAAGTAATTAGCCTCCAACTAATAAAAATAGATGGAAAAAAAATCTACATGCATTTGAAGACTGCAGTAAATTGTCACTTGTTAAATATGAGGACCAAGTAAAAATTATAAAATCTCCTAAGATTAGTTAACAGCAGCTTATATAAAAATGGTCATCATTCTAATGTTACAAATGTCTGTCCCTGCTGTATGAACCCTCCACTCTTATCTTTCATCCACAAAGGGAAAGAGGCAGAGGAGAGCCTGCCTGATACAGTCTGAACCACCTTTCAGAAGTGGGCCACTATCTTTACTGTCTCCCCTAGACTCAAGCAACGGTCACATCAGTATACAAGAATACGCCCTTGAGATTTACTGTGCAAGACTGGCCACAGTTAACAATACTGTATTGTGCATTTATAATTTTTGTTAAGAGAGTAGCTCTCATGTTTGTATTTTTTATTGCAATAAAAGAATTATGATACTCTGTGAGGGGAAAAAAAAACAGAATGGTACATATTTCTATAAGTTATATGAAAGGTTAAAACTGCGTACTCACCCAGGAAAAGGTATCTCATCTTCTTCTGCCCAATCCTCCTGCTCTCCGCCATAATAACTGTTTCCTTGTCTGGCCACATCTTGACCTGTATCTTCACTTTCACTGTCCCCAAGGGCACTATCTGAACTTTCATTTCTTGGAATGTCCCATTCAGCTCCCACAGCAATTTTTTTCTCTGAACTCTCTTTATCCCCATGGAGGACAAGAATGGAGAGTGTATCTCTTTGGTCTTGTTGAGGAAAACAGGTTTTACATGAATCTTGGTGAACTGTTCCTACACATTTGCAAAATTCATTGTTTGGTTTGCTATTATTTGTACACAATCTTTTTGAAAACTCTAACATACAGCAGTGTTGTTTACTGTCTGTACTTGTTTTAAGTGGAATATCATCAATAGTCCTGGTTTCAATTGAATCATCATTAAAATATTCATCAAATAAACTCATGCTTTCTAGGTCTGAATGATTCCAGCAAGGAAGTTCACAGGGTTCTCCAGATACTATGTTCGGTATATCAGACTCTTCAGATTTAGTTGTTTGTTTACTTTCTTGATGCTGATCAACAGCCCCTCTTTCCTCTTTCGGTGATTTGGTGTGATGCCTGGTAATCTGATCCACTACTGCCTGACTCCGGAGTTCAGTATCTGAGTCAGGTGACATAGAATCACCAATCAAGAAAGTAACCTTTGTCTGGGTTGCCTCACAAGAAAATGCAGCTGTCACAAGCTTATCTGGAGGTTTTTTTTCCACAACCATTCCTGCAGATCTCAACACTTTACCTGTGTGATTACCTGAATCTAGCAACTCCTCGTTCTGCCATGTTTCCTCTGCTGGGTCTAGGCCTGACTTCGACAATGCACATCTGTCTACTGGAGCAGATCCTGTGCAAACAACTGTTTCTAACTTAGTATCAAGGCAAGTTCTTGACTTATCTCTGTATTGTTTAACATCAGGAGCATTTTCTTCTTGGCAGTTAGGAGAGATCATTTGGCACTCATTTGAAATTCCAAGCAGCTCCTTAGAGCTGTTCTGAATATCTTCTCTCTCTTGTCGTGAAACATTCTCCGTATGCTGCCCAAGGAGTGGATGACTGCAATATTTACAGTTACAATTAGGAGTCCTTGTCTCTTCTGACTCCTTAAAGAGCAAACTGCTTTTGTTTCTATGCATTGTGATCAGCACATACTCAGATTCTTCGATTTCCCCTTTCTCCAAAGTGGTAGTAATTACTGTGCCTGGCATAACAATGGCTTCATCTTCTCCATTTTCTAAAAGATGGGTTTCTTGAAGTTCAGAGCATCTTATGAAATAAGTAAGAAAATAAAGCAGCCTCTGGACCATGTCTTGTCGTTTGCCAACTACCACAGTCCTTGCTAACCGTACAGGAGAGCCAATAGCGCCATATAAGTCTCCTGAAATAGAAAAATCAGTCAATGGGCATATCCTCTATTTATACAGCTAAGCAGCCTATTTTCAATTAACAGAAACCTACTCTTATTGTATGAGGGGTAGGTCAGGTTTTACTTTTGGCTCCTTCAGAGGTGAGTGATTATTCAGGAATAGGATGAGATTTATGCTCTTAACCAAAAGAGAAAGGTGAATGGAGGAGCTTTCTAGCTTCCTCCTGAAGCAGCTGCTGTGGTGCTGAAACCACAAGCAAACAGTCAGTTGTGAAAGTCACATTTACCAAGAACATGCTCCATGCTAGTCCCCTGGCAGAGTACAACATCTGGGTGGACAAGTACTGACTAAAGTACTCATGTGCCAAAGCACATCTGCTGGGGACCAAGGAGAGGAAGGCAGTAGAAGTGAAAACGAGCAGAGCTGAAATAGTCACATCACATGATTAACTTTCCTTGATTCAAATTATATTCCTGAACCTCAACTTTTGCTGTCCTACTCAGGACCTCACATTAACTTCCATGTTTTTAAAAGTCCATTTTCCTTTCCATTCCATTCCCCAGAGAGCTGGATACTCACAATAGACCCAAAAGGGCAACATGTTCAGCTTTATGATTCATTTTCACCTCTGTATCCATACGATACATGAACAGCTATTACATTTTAAAAGGGGGGAGTGGAATTTAATTCAACTTTTGAAAAACCTCTATTTTTACAAGAATCCCATAAACAGGTCTCAAATAATATGCTATAGACTGTATTAACATGATACATTTTCTCCTCTAGCTAAGACACTGGCTCTAGCACCACGATGCCACTGTTCAAACTACTCCCAAGGTTACCACTAACAAGCAAATAAATTGAAACTGCTTTGGCATGGTGAGTCTTTCATGACTGGTTCCACTTTACTTTTCCAGGTTTATCTTCTGATAATTACCTTTTCTCATCTTTATTCATCCAAAGTCCAAGTTAAAGTGGACTACGTAAAATGGACCCCTGAATACGCTCAGCACGTTTAACACCTAGACCCCTTTACTCATGCTATGTACTTTCACGTCCCTCTGAATCTGTCAGCCCAAAGTTTCCACCTAAGCATCTTCCCTTGGACAAAAGTAAGCTTCTGTAATTGAACTCCCACTAAACTTTTAATTTCTTATAGCTCCTATCTGAATTATCCTCATTGTCCATATATATTTTACCTACAGCATAACACTGTCATTTCTTGAAGACATTCATCTTTATATTCTCCAATGCTCTTTGTACAGAGCCTTAGATATATTGTGCATGCAATAAATGACTGTGAAACTGAAAACAGATTTGAAATGTTCAAATTAAAAAAAAACTACTGAATTAGTTGATTTGGAAAAAGGTATATTAAATATTCATACAATGAAATACTACTTAGCATTTAAAAAGAATGAACTAGTAATACATGTAATATAGGTGAATCTCAAAATAATTATGTTGAATAAAAGAATTCAGAGCAAAGAAAAACACTCAGTGTATGATTCCACTTATATAAAATTCTAGAAAATGCAAACTAATCTACAGTAATAGAAAGCAGACGAATGGTTGCCTGAGTATAAGGGACAGTGAACAGGCAGAGTAGGGAGGAAGCGATTACAAGGGGCATGAGGAAAACTTGTAATGATGAGTATGTTCACCATTATGATTTTGGTGATGGTTTCATATATATTTTGACATATATATCAAAACTTACAAAACCGTATACTTTATACATGTGTTCGCTGTATGCCAATTATTCCTTAATTTTGTAGAAAAAAGGAAAGGGAGGGAGGGAGGGAAGAAATAGAGTGGGAGTGAGGGAGGGAGCTTGATTGGTTATATGAATTAATAAGCCACATGACAATCTGCCTGGCAAGCTCACTCACCCTAACAACTAAGAGAATTTAAAGTTTCTACCAGGTCACCAAAATGTTCTCACTGTTCTTCCACCATCACCAAATAGCAACAGAGTAACAGCAGGAATAACACCAACTACAAATATTTACCGACCACTGTCCTAAATACTATACTCATATTATCTCATTTACTTTTCACATTATAAAGTATGTACTATTTATTTTATATATTTTTGGCCACTCCATGCATCTTGTGGGATCTCAGTTCCCCAACTAGGAACTGAACCCAGACCGAGGCAGTGAAAGCACAGAATGCTAACCACTAAACCATTCCCTGTACTACTTATTATCCCTACTTTATAAACAGGGAAACTGTGATTCAAACATGGTATGCCTGACTCCCCCAGCCTATGCTTAAATTTAAGCTCCAGGCTACACTGCCTTCCTAATGACTGTCAACTCATCAATTAAATCCTCTCTCCTGTTACCCATTTATTTAGTGGGGTGCGCAGCACTAAGGGAAACATTTTCAAACTTTACTCAACAAAAGAAACAAACATGGTACAATGGAAAACTCGATGACTGCTTCTCAGCTAACCAGATTTATTCTAGAAATCACAGGTAACTTAGTTCCTTCATTCTTTCTAGGCAAAGTACTGAATACAAAAAATCCAGAAGCCCCTAAAGTCAGTAGTAAATTCTGCTCCTTTCATTGCAGTTGCAGGTCTGTATCCATACTTAAGATGGGGATAAGACAATTTAGCAGTCACGAAACAAGGAAAAAGTGCCTTAGAAAGGAAAGGGAAAAGAGCACATAATTTTCCTCTATTTACTTTTGCTATGAAATAGTGACTCCAGACAGTTACACAGACGTCTAAGTCTAACACATCACGTAAAGGCTTTCAGAATACACACCCAGTTGTGCCCAGAGTGGATTGTATGGATGAGTCTTCGCCAACATGTCTACACTCTGAGAGGAATGTTTTTCTAAAAATATTTTTATAGGTGGTTGTCCATTTGGCATGACTGTTGGAACCCAGGCAAGATGATTGGTCAGAACTGCAGTAATGAGTGCTGGCAAGAATCTGAAAACAAAATGCATCCTATCAGATTCTAATCTGCTTTCATAAAACCTCAAGCAAAAAGCAGTGACAGAATAAAGCAGAGAGAGTATATGGCCAATCATCATAAAAAAGGAAGGAACAGAGGAAAGGATAGGTATATCACCAAGATGAAAACAAAAGTTAATAAAATTTTTTGTTGTACTAGTTAAGAAAGAAAAATCCTCAAAATAAAGATAGCATTCACAAGGAGATATTTTGACTCATAATTAAAAAACGAAATGCCATTTTATTTGAAAAACTATGGATTCTTTTCAGTGTTTACGAATCAACCAGTAGGTCTATACATTTCCCAATTACTGAAAAGGAAAAGGAAGGAACAAGTATTAAGAAAACTTTGTTTAGAGAATATAAACATTTAAATTACTCATCTAGAGTCTAAGAACTTGATGAATGATTAGAAGAAAGCAATATGATAAAGTACCATACTGAAAACATTATTATTGGAATTCTGGCACTTATCTATGTATTTGTTGTTATATTCTATAGAATTAAACTGCATAATGTAGATATAATTATTAAAAATGAGAAGCCTCACACAGTTCCATAAAATGTCAGAAATTTTAATTTAATACACAAAGACATTTTTACTGTTTCTCATTCATAAGTTTCTTTGGCCTTCTTCCATATCTTTTAATTATATTAATTACCTTATATAATTCTGTCTTGCTCATTAATAATATGAAAACGTCCAAAGGCAATGATTAACTCTTTCATTTTTGTAACTGAACTTGATCACAACCTAGATATCTAATTATTATAAATAACAGCTTAGACAGTTAAGATAGCTTGGATGGATGGATAGATGGAAGAAAGGGAGGATGTGAGGGAGTGAGGGCCATACTGATTTTTTGAAGCATTTTCCATTAGAAAAGTGAACTCCTTCATGAATCGATGGCAAAGCTGGTTCTTTTCTGGAGTCCCCGACATCATTGTGAGCCAGACAGGCTCTCCAATTCGTGGCATTGTATAAAGATTACAAATTGTTGTTCTAAAAAAGAGGAAAACACATTATAAAACTCAGTTCCCAGAATTACATACTCTTAATGTTGCTGGCTCCCACATAGGTTATTAAAAGCTTTGGAAAAGAGGTAATGAATGAATCAAGTCTTTCCTTCTTTGTCCTCAGCACAGTACCAAGGGAAAGGGGGAACATGAACTCAAAATGTTTTGGTCCTGGAACTGGCTCTGTCGGCAAAGACTATGTGCCTTTGGATAAATTATTGCCCTACCTTAAGCATCAGTTACCCTTACCTGTAAAATGAAAGGAAAGGACTAGATAATTTCTAGACCCTTTCCAGTTCTACATTTCTAAGGTATAAGCTATACTTACATATATATTACAAATAATCAACAAAATAGAAAATTATTTTAAATGGAGTAACAACTTACCGATAATACCCACTCAGAACAATAGTTATCAGCATCATTTTGTTGCCTGTGCTGAGACTCCTAAGTAAAATTCTGAGGGAGGATGAGGATACTATGTATGAAAGTATATATTATGACTGCCTCTCAATTTTCTGAAGTTTTCTCTTAAATCCACACAAAAGAGGATTACTACACAATTAAGACAGTGCTTTACTGGCTGTCTCTTGCATTTACTTAGATAATAGCTAGCCTTGTGACCTGCACTCTTTACTAAAGGCTTTAAAGAATACCTTTAAGATGGCAATTCTTTTTTTTTTTTTTACATTAATATCTGTTTGGTAAAGTACTATACAGTCACCAGGATAAGCAACTCCCACAAAGTTGGGGCTTAAGAAACTAATCAATCTCGTAGAAGCCACAGAATGGTATCTGACTTTCCACTTTCTCAAATGGTCCTAACAGAACTTTTAGCACTAATTGGTATGTTATATTATCTGTGCTATCCAACATGGTAGCCACTAGCCAGTCATATGTGATTACAGAATAACTAAAATGTGGTCAATGTTAACTGTGGAATTGGATTTTGTATTTTATTTTGTTGTGATTAAATTAATTTACATAGCCACAAGTTATATTAATTAATTTACATAGCCACAGCCAATGGTTATTAGTAAAGCTCTACAAGGTTCTCTGAGATTTCCACAAAGCTCCGATACCTACCTCAATATAATTTAAAGTAACTAGGATTCTGGTAGCTTCCTTGGTGGCTCAGAGGTTGAAGTGTCTGCATGCAATGTGGGAGACCTGGGTTTGATCCCTGGGTCGGGAAGATCCCCTGGAGAAGGAAATGGCAACCTACTCCAGTATTCCTGCCTAGAGAATCTCATGGACAGAGGAGCCTGGTAGGCTACAGTCCATAGGGTCGCAAAGAGTCGGATATGACTTCACTTTCACTTTCAAAATTCACAAAAGAAAAAGAATTCTGTTCCTTGTTCAAGTTTTACTGAATCTCAACCTAATATAAATAGGATATATTACCATAAAGTGATAAATAGAGGTCACATTAATGAATTCTTGGTAGGGCACAAAATAACTGCTGAGAACTTAAAAATATATGTATGGAAAAAACTACAGGCATCTTATAGAGAAAAATATGAGAATATAAATGAGGGATATGTGATAATGCTTATTTTTAAAAGACTATTAAGGATATCCAGATAGGATAAAAAAATGAAAACAAATGTTTATCCACTTTCAGTTCTTATGCCCCAAATGAACACTACTTAATGATTTAAAAATCAAATGAATCACTACAACAGATAGAACTTTAGTGAATTTTACTGAAACTTTAGTGAAAATTAAAATTATAGATCTAATAAGATTCTAGAAGACAAAACACAAGAGATGTTCACTGAAGTAGTAGGGGAGAGAAAGATGATGGGTTATGGTGCTCATAATGGGGGACATGTACAAAGAGAAGTTCATTTGCCCCAGTGACGCAAAGAGAGTCTAAGTTTTCAAAAGTACGTCAGGAGTCATATAGGACTATAAACTGACAGACTAATTCAAGGTCCATAAATAGTTGGTGACCCCTACCTTCTACCCCATCTTCCTGCAGAAGCAACTGACCTGCTCGGGGAAATGACATCCCCAAACCCTCCCTGATATTTGAATCTTTCATAGTACATAAATACATATATAGTAAATCTTCTAGTATTAAAATTTCATGGCAGAGGCAACAATTATGGGGGGAAAAATGTTTAAATATGCTCCTTCAGGCAGTGCAAATGAAAAAAGTTGAGCAACACTGCTCTGAAATAAGGTTCTCCAATCTGTTCCCCCAACCTTTATTTTGGTTCCTCGCTCTCAATTCTTAATGGGCAACCAACATTTTGATACTAATACACAGGTAAAGCCTCCAAGAAGAGAAAGACAGAAACACAAAGACAGAAACACGCACACAAAGGACTCCAGAGGAAATAGAAAATAATATATTCAGAAAAAGAGAAGAAAAATATGAAAGAAAAAATATAGACGGTCAATTCAGGACTGTCAATTTCTAACAAAATAAGCTCAAGAGAAAAAAGAGGAAAATAAATTATCAGTGAAACTAATTTACCAAAGCTGAAAGACAGTGCTAAAACCACACTGAAAGGCTAAAGGAACGAAGATCAAATATGAATTCATGGCAGGAGATAAATATGTCCTACAATTGATAAATCATGAAATAGCTGCATTAAGTATACTGTTTAATAATATGGAGGTAAATAACACAAGAAACACTTAAGAGTTAAAAGAGGATGTTCTTCAGAAAAAGAATGGCAATAGGATGATAAGTAGGACAGGGTTCATTTACTTTTCATTATTAGAGCTGTCAATACATAATTTTTGTTTCTTAACCATGTGAATGTCCTTTTTGATTAAATAAATGAACAAGCTGATCAACTCATTTTTCAGAAGTTTCTTCAGAATAACAGTGTCTACCATTAGGTTGGTGCAAACATAACTGTGATTTTGGACTGTGAATTTTAAATTATAACCAGGCTCAAACACATCTTTATTAATCAAAACAGGAACCATTGCAATCAACACATTTTTGCCAATGAGAACTAAGATTGTTTATTCCTATAGTGTAAAAATCCACATTTCAGGATTCAACCAACACTTGGAAAGCATTTTCTGCCTACTGTTGGTTGTGGAAGCATTTTCTCTGCAAAAAGTTGTCAAGATGTTTGAAGAAGTGGTTGTCAGTTGGTGAGAGGTCAGGTGAAAATGGCAGATGAGGCAAAACTTCATAGTCCAATTCATTCAACTTTTCAAGTTGAATGTGCAATGGCTGTGGCTGTGCAATGTGGGGGTGGGCATTGTCATGGAGAAGAACTGAGTCCATTTTGTTGACCAAAGCCGGCTATAGGCACTGCAGTTTTTAGTGCATCTCATATCTGCTGACCATGCTTCTCAGACATAACGGTTTCACTTGGATTCATGAAGCTATACTGTTTCAGAGCAGCAGCAGACCCCCGAATGCTGACCATGACCTGTTCTAGTGTAAGCTGAACTTTGGGAAGTGCTTTGGAGCTTCTTCTAGGTCCAACCACTGAGCTGGTCATTGCGTAAAATCCACTTTTCATCACACGTCACATCTGATCAAGCAATGGTTTGCTGCTGTTGTGTAGAATTAGAAAAGACAACACTTCAAACTGATAATTTTTTTGATTTGCAGTCAGTTCATGAGGCACCCATTTACTGAGCTTTTTTCACCTTTCCCATTTGCCTCAAATGCCAAATAACCATAGTATGGTCGACGCTGAGTTCTTTAGCAACTTCTCATGTGGTTGTAAGAGGATCAGCTTTGATGAACCTGTCAGTTGGTCACTGTCAACTTCTGACGGTTGGCCACTATGCTACCTATCTTCAAGGCTCTCATCTCCTTTGCAAAACTTCTTGAACCACCACTGCACTGTACATTCATTAGCAATTCCTGGGCCAAATGAGTTGTTGATGTTGTGAGTTCTCGCCACTGCTTTATGACTTATTTTGAACTCAAATAAGAAAATCCCTTAAAACTGCTTTTTGTCTAACATCATTTCCCTAGTCTAAAATAAATATAAAATAAACAGCAAGTAAAAAGTTATTAGCAAAAAATAAAAAGAAATACACATTAAAATGATATATTATAGAACCACATTTATTGAAGAATGTACTCCAATACCAAATAGTAAAGTTCAACAATGCAAACTAGCAATTGCTTTTGTACCAATCTAATACAAGTCTATGCCAGAGTCATACTGTTAACACTAGCATAGCGAGTCTCTGAGGACATTCTCTTTAGTGTTTTGATATTTAAAAATATGCACCATGATCTTGAAGTGAATCAAGTGCTGCTGCTGCTGCTGCTAAGTCACTTCAGTGATGTCCGACTCTGTGCAACCCCATAGACGGCAGCCCACCAGGCTCCCCCATCCCTGGGATTCTCCAGGCAAGAACACGGGAGTGGGTTGCCATTTCCTTCCCCAATGCATGAAAGTGAAAAGTGAAAGTGAAGTTGCTCAGTCATGTCCAACTCTTAGCGACTTCATGGACTGCAGCCTACCAGGTTCCTCCATCCATGGGATTTTCCAGGCAAGAGTACTGGAGTGGGGTGCCACTGCCTTCTCCGGTAGCAAGTGAAAGGAAGGCCAAAAAAATTACACAATAAGGCTCTCACTACACAAAAAATTCTGTGCTATCACCAACAACCTAAAAGTAATAGTACTTGCTCTCTAGCCCCTTTAATGATTATTCCCTACCGATGAATGGTAAGAAAGGCAAGTATTTTCAGTCATCTGATCTTTTATTTTTCTTCATCGGTCCCTAGAGAATGAAAAATTCTCTTTACTTAGAAGGGAACTATGACATGATTTAGTTTTCATTGATATATATAAACTCCTAAGTAAAAATCCAAGGACTTCAATGTATACATATGTCTGATTCACCTGCTGAACAGCAGAAAATAGCATAACACTATAAAGCAACTATACTCCAATTAAAAAAAAAAAAATCCAAGGACTTCAACTCTGCCAGGCAGCAATGCTAACTAAACATAGTTCTCAATTCTTAGCTTACAGGACTTCCATACAC